TGCATATTTAAGTGTAAAATCACTATTTTTATTCTTTTCACAATAATTATTGTACTATTATTATTATTACTATATCACTAAAATATTGAACTAAATAATATTATTACGTTCGTGATAAATATTCCCTTAATATGTGATATAATAACGTATATTCTAAATGAGCAAAATATAGTATACTGAGATTCGATAATTTTTTTTATAGCGAAAATTGTATGTTATTATGTCCACAATGTGTAAATAATAGTTAAACATGCGTAATAAAATAAATGGGTAATTTTAAAACTGTATTCAGAATTGGTAAATTAACATTGAAAATTTAACAATATATGAATGTGTACACATGACTTGCGTATATAATTTACAATTTTAATAAATTTCTAAACTTCTATTTTAAATGAAATATAATAATTATTAGACATTTTGAATAATCATTTTACGACTGGCTCGAATATCTAATATTTATTAAATTCAAGTATATATCCATTATGGTGAACCAATTTGATAAAAAACGGTAAAAGTTAACAAATTGTTGAAAAATGATCAACTTTAAATTACCCAAGGCAAATGTTTTTTTCGTGGATCTTTCATGGAGTTCGTCCTAATAGTTATATTAAACTATGAATTATTTATGTTATTCTATTACAGTATTAGTAATGCAGTATAATAAGGCTAATATCTTAATACAATTATTATTATGTCTCTGCATTTTTTATAAATCTTGAGAAAAGGTTAAGAATAGAATATTAATTATAATTTGTATAAAGTGTATCCTTATACAAATTATTATAAATATTAAACTGAAAAAAAATCAAACATCATTCCCCTTTCCCCTCTTCAGGTGTTTCACAGCCCCTGAATATTATATTATAATGATTGTGTTTGGGGAGTGTATAAAATTCGAACAAATTTAAGTTGTCAAAACTTGTTCAGAACTTGTATCTATAGTGTAGATGCATTCAATCCCGAATTTAGACTTTCAGGGGCCAGAGGCCAATACATAGTTGTGGACCCCTATCAATAAAAACAACATTTTAAAATATTAAAAATGTATAATAATACAAATTTAAATATTTTTAATTAAGTATGGTAAAAATATTAAAAAAATATTAATTTTTATTATAATATATATATCTACATAAAAAATTTAATACGTATTTTATTTAAAAATCTTTTTTCTTGCTTTTAGTGTAGCAAATGCTTCTAAGGTTTTATCAAAGCTTAAAGTTTGTAGAATATCATTAACGATGACAGATTATCTTGAGTTTGTGAATTTTTATTTTTAATTCTGGGCAACTTCGAAAATGCTTTCTCTGCGGTACAATTAGCAACAACTAATAATGCAGTGTAGAGTGTAGACAGTAGACTGTTGTAATTAGTAGGTATCTGAGTTCTGAGTACCTACGATGGTTAAATACTCACATTAACATATTTTCCCAATAATTCTATTTTTAAATAAAATGATAACAAAATATATTCTTATTCCCTAAACACACAAACCTGGTCATGTACTTCCATTTATCATGCCCGTGGTGGTAAACATGGTAGGCAGGTTGTTAGGACAGGTCTGTTCAAACAAGGAAACATAAAAATAAAAATATTCTTGTGCGCTATAAAAAGTACAAATTACCACTCAATGTAATTTTAAGCCGAGAAAACTATGGGCCCTTTACATACGTGAGCCCCGATGGACTTGCCCCCTCCCCTCTTAATCCGGGCTTGGGTGAGTTTAGAATTGTCATATTTTTCATAGTTAAAAACATTTTTTTAATTTACAGACTATGATAACATTTACACGACAAAAATATTGATTTATCGATTTTGTGTTTTGATTAACGAAATGTATAAGTCGTCCCAAATCGAATTTCTACATATTTAAAACATTATAGCTGGAAGGTATAATTATTGAAGTTAAAGTACAATTATGTTAACGATTCATTTATTTCTCTTTCTTGTATAAAACAAGCTCATTTCTAATATTTCATAAATGTACAAGTAAATTATCTATCGTTATCTACCTTATCGTTTATCCATTCTCGAATACTATGTAGTTTGACTTAAAAAAGGTAATGCAATATGAATATCATACTACATTGTTGAATGACGATTTAAAACAAGTATAATTTGCGAAAAGGTGAACATATAAAAAATTACATTTGCCGTTTAAAATACAAAAAAGTTTCTTATTTTTTTTTTTTTTTTAATACTATTGCTAAAATATTATTATATATACCTATATATTTAGTAAATTGCCCATTTGATAATTTTTTTTTCATTTGACGCCAAATTGGCTAAACGCCAAAAATTGTACACCAATGTCGAAGAAATGGCCTCGCCCAAATGACCCTTACTAAATGAAATTGGATTAAAAATGACTAAAACTGTCCGATCGGAGTAAATTTTTTATACGTTTAAACACTAAGTAGCTTACGTCGGTCATCGTCGTCGTACAGTTTATTAAATAATATAATACACAAAAAAAAACCCGTTCTCTATGAAAACAATATGCATAACTTTTTTACAATACATAATATACGTTGGATGATATAATATTGAAATGCACCGATAAAATGACGATAACAACCGACCATTTAATTTATAATACTGTTGAATCTGTTTTATCCATTGAAGTTTGTAGCCCATTACCGAACGAATAATATGTAAATTACCAGTTTCTGTATAAGATAATGTATTCTCTATCTAAAATTAGGAGTTGTATATTATTCTCTATGCTCTCTATTTATAGCAGACCAAGTTAGAAATCCGCGCTATACAATATCGAAGTGCTTAAGAATTGAACATTTTGAAATTTCGTCAATTGTAGGGATATTTATTTATTTTTTTTGAATTTTAATAAGCATATTATGCATATTAAAATTATTTCTAAAACAAAAATCGATTGGAATTTTTTAACCTAAATTTTTTGTCGTTTTTCTTCTCCTACACCTTCAATCCAACTATTTTAGATCAGCCACCCTCGTCCTAAACGTCTACTTGATCCGATCACCCACATCATCTTCGCATATACCCACCGTTTTCATATGATTCTCAATCACATCTAACTCCCTCTTTTTGGGTCCTTTTCTCTTCCTCTTGTTTTCTGCGATAGTTCATATTTAAATTCTTACTGTTTTTAATTCTTTTCTCTTCTTAAGACGCCCAATCATCTCAACCTATTTTCTCTTATTGTATCTACTATTAAAGCCATATATAAGATACCTTTTACGTGTTCATTCTTTTTCGAGCTTCTCTCGTTACTTCACTCATGCACCTGAGCATTCTCATCTACAATTTATTTATTTTAAATTATATTGAATATAAAATTCAATTTTGTTAAACGTATAATATTAAATTTAATTTTATTACACGAAGGTATTTATTTTCAATGTGCGTACTACTTTATTGTCAATTAGTTGTCAACTTTATCATAAACTATATGTTATTGTTTACTACTTAATAGTTGTTTTATATAGTATTTAAATAACTTCATATTTTAAGTATAAAAAAGACGTCCTAGGATAATGGGGACAGGTGCAGCCACTGTTATAGGTAATTTAAAGTATACCAGTAAATAACGATATAAACCATTGCTTACGAAAAAACGATTCCGAGTGGAGTTCAATTGATAGTGATACTTTATCAACAATATATATGTCATATTATAGTAAAATAATTAAATAGGCTCTATATATTTTCTTTAATAATATTTATTTAAATTATCATGGCAACATATAAAAGCCTGATCCTCCCCATAATTGATTACAGTTCCATAATCTACGGAGCAGCTCCAGATTCTTTACTAAACTCACAAATCCTATTCACCACTAACGCATGCAACTGAGCATTGGTGTCTTTAGATCCAGTTCCATTCCAAACACCCTATGTGAAGCTATCACATTCTCTTAATATAAGACACAATATGCTGATGCATACATTTTCTCTCAAAAGACTATCAAATAAGGACGATTCCATCTCAACTTACCTATCTACAAATTCCATTTTTTCCTTAAGACATTTCAAAAAAAAAAAACCCTGCCAATATCAATACGATTTAATAGGTGGATTGATTTAACTAATTCACCAGTCCCTTCTAGGCCCTTTGTATATTCTCCACGGAAAATGATGCTTAATGTCAACTCCTCAAGTAGAGAAAAATGTTTTCATTACCTATGAATTTAGAAGATGTGTTATCTATCAAAAACTTCAACTTATTAATGTATTTTCTTCAAAAAAAATAATCTGTACAACCTTATTTAAATATGTTTATCTATTATACAAGTTTTTTCCGTTGCTCTTATAACTATTGAACTTACTATTTATATAATATAAAATGCAAATTGTTCCTCTCCGGCTAATGATTTCATGTTGAAGCCGTAATAATAATTAAAAAAATATATACATATATTTGTTTAATGTTGTACCGATTTTCCCAAATTTTCACATTTGCTGAGAAAACGCCTAGGAAAATGGAAAAACAATATCTGTAAAGTACCAGTGAAATTTCCTTTCAAACATTGCTATCATTAAAAGTTGGAGGAAAATTGCTAATAAAAAAAATTGTCCACGGAAAAAAAAATAAACATCTTAGTAAAACCATAAGCCTTTTTGCTCCACTTAGAATCTAAAATAATAATAACAACACTGAAGACATACGAAGATTTAATAATTACATAGTGCTATAATATGCTAACGTATAATGTATTATATACAATATTTTATCTATAAATTCGATAATAACAGTAATTATTCCATGATTCTTGGTTGTATGTATCCATAGATAATATGTAGTTATCATAATTATATATTTATATTACAGTAGATTTATATACATTGTATATACCATGTGTTGAGTAATTGTTTGCTTGTCATGCCTAAACAGGATACACCCATCTAACCTCCACTTAATAGTGCTTCTAGTCGTCTCTTTCCTAAGCCCATTACTGGCTACCTTAAATTCCATTAAGGCTGATCTTAAATCAGATTTTACATTTTTTTGCGCTTAAATGACTGAACTACGTGCTAAAAACTCCAGTCTTTGCACGGAAATTGACATCCTGAAATGCAAATTAGCCAGTCTTAAAAAATCCAGTAATACTGAACCGCTGTCGGTTGTTACCCAAGTTCTTCAAGAGGCCCTCGAGTGGAAAAGGTGCTTGTTTAATTTAATTTTGTATAGTGTTATTGAAGCTTCTTCAGTTGATGTTTCTCAACGTATAGCTCATGATAGGCAGACCAATTCTAGAATACTTCAGTCTCTTGGTGATGTTATTCCTAACAACTCAGTTTAATGCACCTTGGTAAATAATACGGTAATAATTCTGCTCGCCTACTAAAAATCATACTTGACAATAAGGATACTGCAGCCAATTTGCTTTTTAAATTCAACTCAGTTAAGCGTTCTGGTTCTTCCTTCCTGGAAGGATTTCGGATGATGAATGATAAAACTGTCCTTCAATTACTGGTAGAAATGTTGTCCACAGAAAAAAAATCGTAGTATTATATTTATTATATTTCGTAAATTTTCCAGTTTTATTCGGTTTTTCGCATTTGATGAGAAAAATCTTGAGAAAATCGAAAAATAAACTTTTTAAGGATACCTCACCATACCGATTTCGGTATGGTACACGTAAAAATCGGAGCAAGTCCTCTGGTAGAAAAGTTGTCCACAGAAAAAATAAATTAAACAACTTTGTAAAACTACAGGCTTCTTCGCTCTACTTAAAATCTAAAATTGATTTTACATATTTTATTTTCTATTTTTTTTTTTGTACATTTGAGCGCATTGACAGTACGTCGGCATGCCACTATACACAAACCAATTCACCCGGTTTTTCTAATTCTTATAACTTTCTTTCCTCTAGAGATGTGTTTTTAAAATATTTAGAACATAGATTAAGCGAAGATGTCTTAAGACCTTGTACATAATTGAGACCATAATACTTAGCTGTTTCAAAAGAGGAAGATTTCAATTTTTGCCTATTTGTTACTCATTGACTGACTTATCATTAAAATAATAAGAGCCTTTCCGTATAGATAGAAACGTGAAATTTGTAACATAGTTAGATCTTATAATGGAAATAAAGTGATAAAGTTTAAAATTGTCATTTTCTTATAATCAATATCACTTAAGGCCTGAGGGAGGGTAAGAATAGGTAGGAGCATACTTTAAATTGTATAGAACCTACATATTATACATCAATTTTCATGTTTTAAGAGCGCTGAATCCAACTATTTCATTTGGTCCAAGACCCATTTTACTCCTATTTTCATGAGCAACACTAATTTTTATTTTAATCATACTTAACACTAGGCTACTTTCTAAAATTGTTTCTTTTCTTCTGAATTTTCTCTTCTTCATCCCCCATATAACTCCAATGTGAGTATACATGTTATTAGTATTTTATTTCTCATTCAGAAAATAGCCAAATATTAATTAACTAAAATAAAAGAACAGAGTTGCTCATGAAAGTTGGAGTAAAATGAAATAATGGGCTAAGAAAAGAGAAAACTTGACCACAATTTAAACATCACTACTTTGATAGGCAGACTTTTTTAGGAGGTGGTTTGGGATTTTGCCTTTTTTTCATTGTTAGGTTTTTGTTGATATTGTTAAAATTATTATCATTATTGTTTTTATTTTTTTCATATTTTAGATTTTTCATGTATACTATTTGTATGTATATTTTGTTTATTTTATCTCCTATAACTTCCGAGCCCAAATTTTAAATATTAAAATAATTTCTTAAATCGCTGTTCGTTGTAGTAAGTACCTACATAGTATGAAAAAAAAAAAAATATGCGATTTTACAAAGCCGTGTAGTTATAGACTTTTCGAGTCCTTTGATTTGTACATAAAATTATATAATAGGATAATATGATATTTACGTATTAACATTATGTAGACATAGACAGCAATAATATTTTACGAGAGTGTTTTACATTTTCATTGCCGTATAAAAGATCAAAGCATAAAGGCTTTGCACGCAAAACGTTACATTATTAAATATTATTAAGTATTATTTGGTATAAACATCGTCGGCCAATACAAATCGTCTATAATGTTATTAGGTAGTGTATAATATGTTTTATAAAATCTTTTTTCGTACTACTTTTTTTTTACATATATATTTATATATATAAACACGTATGTTCCTATACACATGCACCGCTATTTTAATGTTTCTAGGCGTCGTTACAATACAACGACGAACCCGATGCATATGATAAATGGTAATTGGTAAGTGTGTTTAAAAAAAAAAAAAACAAAACAAAAATCCTAATAAAAATATGTGTATGCCACGTTAATAATCGTTTAACTATATTGCATACAATATAAACCTTTTACAATGACATTTGATTTATTCAAGGGGGCTGCAAAAATGTGTCATAGTAACCGATAGTAATTATAACTCAAATATTAAAAGAAAGAAAATAAAACTCGATAATATATTAATCACATTTTAAAAGGTAAATATGTCCAATATTGTCCATATAATCTATAGGAGACACAAAATAGTGGTACATGTCTTGAATTTGTCTCATTTTTCGCATTAAAAACTAACTTTATCGGCTTATATTTCCATAATGATTTGACGCAGACCAGTCCTTTTCTTATACACTACTTAAAGTAGATAATTACAAATAAAATGATAGTTAAATTTTGTTCAAAAGTTTTTAGACACCATGAAAATCGAATGGAAATCATCGATGTTATGAAAACAACAAAAATCTATCGTCACGAGGATAACTTACAATAATAAAAAATAGCTACTCTATTACTAGTATATCATCTATGGACTGAAAGTTTACGTTTCTTGGCACACGGAGAGTGTAGACAATGTATAGGTAGACATCACATTTTTTTTATTTAAAGACGAAGTTAATATCAGCCCCGAGGCTGTTTGTTTTTTTCTCACTCTCTTTCTGTATAATATTTTATTAATACCTGGGCATTATAATCTATTATTAGTGTTTCGAGTGTTTATTTTAGATTCTGAGTGTAGTGAAGAATCTATTGGTTTTAATAAGATGTTTTTTTCTATTTTTATCAAGTGTACAAAAATTCGACTTTATCAGATATATACGCGTGGCACCATTTCTGAAAGAGAATGTTGTTCAGATTGAAATTTTTGGAGGTCATTTTTTAATTTTCCAAGCGTTTTTCATAATAACTGAGAAAAACCAGGGTAAAACGTAAGAAAAACGGGAAATTTACGAAAATTATGCTTTTATTATTTTTTAATTTTGTTATTAATTGTAATTCAGTTTTTTATTCATATTCGTAGATACTTAAAATTAAAAAAAAAATTATTAAAAAATAAAAGATATTTATAGATATTTTAATTTTGAGAATTGTTTAGGTAATATTTATTCGGTAGGTACTTTGTGGTAAAATTGTTAGACTTGAACAAAAATGCTTCAAAATTTAACAAGATGTTCATTAAGAGTTTTACAATATGGGGGAAAAAAAATGAGTTTAATGTAGTATTTTTTTTAATAAAGAAATTTTTATATCAAATTTTGACGAAAAAATTACTAAGTTTCGAAATTATAGCTTTTTGAAGTTCTGATATTATGCGAATATTATATGTTATGTTAAATAACTTTATATTATCCTTCTTGAAGTATATTTGTCGTGATCTAATGGTTCCTTATGCCTAGGGGTTCCGAGTTAAAACCTGTGTGTTAAAAAAAAATTGTTTACATTTTTTTTCTCTTTTACCTAAACAAGGAAAAAACAAATGCATTTTGGATGTACCCAGAGATATCGAGGAGCCATCACTTCCTCGGAGTAGTAAGTGTTGCAAGTCTAGGGAATCTATCCATTTCACCAACAAATATATGTATAAACTATTTAGTATTGAAAATGTATCGATATTTTTATAAAATCAAGTTCGACTAATGTTGGTATTTTTTATAAGTCTACAATTAACCTACAATTGTATTCCGATCTAGATGAAAATTATTGTTTATTTTTATTTCAAAATTTAACCCCTAAAGAGTGGCTGACCCAGTTTTTTTGGTGTTTTTGGTATGAAAATTGAATTTTTTCTTTTGACTTATAGGTTATTTTTTCCTTGACGACACGTATAAAAATGTAACAATTGTATTTTATCTAACTGTATTGTTTAATTATTACATATGAAATTTAATTTAAAACGTAGTAAGTAGTAAATTTGTGTTATTTTATCCATTTATTTTTATACAAATATATTTAAATATAATAATTCAATACTAAGAGAAGAGATAGGTAAGTAGAATTTATCTTTTCAGTTTTCACTATTGATTATTGTATATGAGGTTTTCAGGGTCCTCCGGAATATTTTGCCTAAGACTTCACAAATCTTGGTGCTGGCACTGCATGCCCTACCCCTTGGCTACGTACTGATCTTAACTTAATATTACCAACCTCTTATATGCATTCGCGTACGTATGTTTTTCTAAAACATCGGCAATTCCGACAAACATTATGTTTGTATATTTACATCTTTAAGGTGTATTGATTCTTTCAATACAACCGGGGATGGATTTATGAGCCGTGCAAGTTCTCGTATAGTGATCATTTTAATACAATTATATCGTCGTTTTCAAAACAATACCTCACAGATCTCCAAAAAAATAAAATAAAAAGAGTATACATGAGTAATGTTATATACATGAAATTGTATAGAAAAATATTAGCGTAATTTAGTGTAAAAATCACAAAATCCAAGGAAAAATATTATAAACGTTGAAACATTATTATCATCAAAATAACCGGTATTTCCGGGTTATCACTATACATAATCGAAAAATATAAAATACAAAATGCATGAGAATAGTAACGCGATTCGAAAACGTTATTTCCGAGTTAATCTCGAAAAACAATGTACCGAATTTAGTATAGTGTTCAGTATACTTTAGTGTAGAATGCGAATATTGATAATATTGCCAGCCTAACCACTTAAATTTATTTTTCCTTAGTTATGTCCTAAGAATAATATGTATATTATAGTCACCGCACAAGTTTGAGGTATTTGTCCCTACTGCATTATACGAATGCTTATAATAGAAGAACACTCACTGCGCCGCGCCGTTTGACTGGAAAAAGTCACGCGTAATGAAAAAAACGTCATCGCTCGTGTTTCCGACACGGCCTAATTATAATATTTCGTTCTGAGTTTCTCAAATCGTTCAACACCGCACGTCATATAACATTACGATACTTTCAATCTGTGGGCTTTTCCTGTACGAAATCTAAAAAATTAACTATAATAGTCAAGCCAGAAAACACGAAACAAATAATAAC